AATCGGGGTAGGATAAATTTTTGGAGGGGTTATCTATTAGGACAAAATTTATTGCTGTAAAAATTAATACTATTATTATAGAATTATTATAATATAATTCATCGACCATTTCTATATATTGCAAACAATCATACACATTGTATTCCAAATAAAACTTTCTTTATCCTTTAATGTAATTTAAAAGGTTTAGATATTTCAGCAAGCTCATAATGCCATAATAATTAATTCATTGTAAATAATGGAGGTTTTAATTGAATTATTATCTAAAAAATAAATTCTTTATATTCACAAAATATCGATAGTTGGTATTGGTAGTAGAGATAGATTAATTTAAGTTATCCTTTATAAATTCTCTGAAAAGAGTATCAATATAAAAAGGTGAAAATAATAATAGAGTCACCGCCGCCGAAGATGGTGAATTTTTTAGGGGGGTAGGCAAAGGTTTTTGAAGGGGGTTTGCATCCAGCAAAAATCCTGTCATGTAGAAGCTGTGGCTGCTGCAGAGATTTTGGAAAAGAAAATTTTATTTCACACAATCTGCAAAGAGGGAGCTCAGATCTTGGAATGTTTATTTATTTTCTTATAAATAATAAGATTTTGTTAATTGTCTGAATGGTATAATAACTCAGAAAGTGATTACTAGTTGATGTTATAAAAGATATACCCGAACACTATTTACCTAATAAAAGCAAAGTTATGAATGGATATGACATCTATATCCAGTATATATATGTTAACCTAAAATACCAAGAATATTAAGAAGGCTAGAAGTCATTGTAAAAGGTATACTTAAACATTCATTACAAATTAATTTTATAAAAATTATTCCTCATTTGATTTATTCATTATTGATTGATTATAATTTATTTAGCAGGGCCTACTTATATAAATTAAGGTATTATCTTAGTTAGTATATCTTAAAGTAAGGTGTAAATATTATATTTCTGTTACAACTTTTAAGTTGCTTAGTTTTTTCTATTAAATTTTGTTTTAATTATTCATAAGAATGAATTTAAGAATTTTATTAAGTGCTGTAAAGATAAAAATATACACAACATTGTAAAGATGTAATGCAAACAATATTTTTATTTCTTATCAATTTATTAAATGTTTCTCTAAAATTATTGATTATGTAAAGAAAGAAATCTTCATATGAATTGATTTATGTATTTTGGATTATAATTTATATAAAAATATTTAAAAAAAAATATGGTAATAACGAAATTAGACACAAATTGTAAAAAATATTTGTAATCATTTGAATTTATTTTAATAAACGTAATATGTGTACATCAAAGATCTCAAATTTGATAGCTCTAAGTAAAATATATTTAAAAAATATATTCTTAATAATAACACTAAATTGGCTTAAGCAAAATATATTTTAATCTTTTAATTGCGAAAAATCATAATTTTTCAGTTTTTGACTATATTAAAAATGATGGCCAGATTCCGAATTAAAAATTTAATGATTCGGGGTAAAAATTTTTAAAAATTTAAGGGGCCCGGCTATGCATATCTCTATATTAGCCTCTATTTTTTTCTCAGGCAAACATGTCCAAGAAATTGGTTTGAAAGTTTACATGTATGTGATACTACAATAATTAAAAATGAATGATTAAAAAAATAAAAAATATTTACCCCATTCCTTTCATGAATATCAATTTTTTTGGCTATATATATATATATAATTCACAAAATATTATTCCTTTTTCCAAATTATTTTTAAACCTAGCATATTATTAGCCCTAAAATATAATATTGTCTCAAACGTTAAATATCTTCACCCTTAAAACGGGTATGAGTTCTTTTTATGTTTTCATAAATATTTGATATCGTCGTAAACAGAGTTGGGCAGGTCCTCCAGAAAAAGAATCTAGATACAGATACAGATTCTTAATAAACAAATGAATCTTAGATACAGATACTAGTATCTTTTCAAAATATCAAAAAGATACAAGATATAAGATACTTGTATCTTTTACTAAATTAGAGTATTTTAAATACAAGATACTTTTAAATTATCATTACCAATTAAATTAGAGTATTTTAAATACATACTTTTAAATTATCATTACCAATTAAATTAGAATAGTTTATAAAATACAGTTTTTATTATCTATTTGTGAAGAACATAGCATACACATATATGAATGAATATTTGCAATAATTAATAAAATATTTATTAATGAATTAATTTTAATAAACAGGGATTTTAATATTAGTTTTTGCCCATTAATAGCTTAAACAGGGAAGGGAGAGTAATATATTTAATGGGAGTTAAAAATTTGCAAATAAGAAAAAAAAATTAAATCAAATGTTTTATTAGAATTTGCAGGTTATTTTCTGTGTTGTTTTAAATATAGCTTATATTCGGAGTATATGGCTAAATGGCGTCTCTAAAAAAATTATACTAGTTTTATTTTATTCATTATCTTTAATAAGTATTAATCATTACTTGTTTGTGATATTTATGTATTTTTTAAATTAGTTTATTTTCTAATATGACTTATTAATTCTTGCGTTTGTAATATCATATATATAAATATCATTTAAATCTCTTTTCAAATTTTTTTTATATATTTCTTGCAAAATTATTAATTATATATAAAAAATATGAAAATAATGTATAACATTATATTATAATTATTAAATACATAACAATTTTCTTTAATGCATTTTAAATTGATTAAATTTTGTAAATAAATGCTGTAATGTAATTTTACTTATATCATTAAATAAAAGTAACTAATAAAGTTAAATTCTACTTTATTATAATTATTTTATTAAGAGCCTTTTAAAATTATCTAATGTTATACATCAAGTTTAGCTTAAATATTTCCTCTAATAAGAACTTGCTAAAATAATTATATATAAAATATATTAGGGATGTGCCGATATTTTTTATCGGATCGGGCCGACTTCACCCTTTAAAATATCTATATCGGCCAATATTATAAAATTTGATCCGATATAAAATGGCTTCTTTAACAAAAATAAAATGTTATAAAATTTTTAAAAAAAGTTATATCTAACACCATTTATTTTTATAAATAAAATCGAAATCCATTTTTATGTATATTTTTTTAATAATAATAAATAATTAATAAACATTCTGCCATATTGTTATTTTTTTCGCATTCTGTTTATTATAGTGTGCGAAATTTTCTTCAAAATCTGTTTTTAGTGAAGTTGGTGATATTGACAGTTACTATCGCCGCAAGCTGATCTCTGATAAATTGGAAATATTGGTATTTCTAAAAAGAAATCTTCGTTATATTAATGTTAAATATTATTTTAAATATTTATTTCAAATTTCATAATATAATTGTTTATTACTTATTATATATATAGATTAATGTTATTACTTATTACATAAAAGTGAAATGTTATTACTTACTTATTATATAAAAGTAATTTAACAATAAAAATATTTTATATTTTTATAGAATTGCAATTGAATTGAATATAAACTATAACTGATCATTATAATATATTTAAATGACCTAAGTTATGGTATAGTTAAATTATAGACGTTATACTAATAAAAAGTATATTATAAATGAAAACCATTGGTATCTTTACAGAATACAAAATTAGATATGATATCAGATCGGTAATCGACCAATATCAATTTAATATCGGGAATATCGGATCGGCCTCCAAAAAAGTGGTATCGATATATCCCTAAAAAATATATATCCAAAATGATTTTAATTTGATATTCAACCATCTTTTATAAAAAATTTTAATAACAATTATCTAAGAGCGACTTAGTATAGATATTATTATGTTAATAATTATAAAATAAAATGTATAATATACTTTAATATGTTTAATTAACAAAGTTTGTAGAGGAGTTTGTTGAACCTGTAATAACATTTTTACTTGTGCAATTTTGACATTCAGCGTGTACCTTGTTCTTTTTTATATGAATTACTTTATAAAATTTTCCATCTAGAATTTTAAGATTCGGATTTGATTCAGGAGAACCTATCTCCATAATTTCATCTTCACTACTATGATTGTTAAACATTCTACAAATTAAAAAATATTACATACAAAATATATCCTTATCTTATTTAGTTTTGGTGTTGTTATTTTTAATCTATCAATCTGTGTGACCTGTAAAACTTCCAACTAATTTTGTTTATTAATATATTTAAAATATAGCGGGAAAAAATAAAGAAAATAATACAAGATTTCACGAAGAAAATAAAGTTACATTGTGTGATATGTAAATGTTTTAAACATGAATATTAAAAAGAATCTGTATCTGTATCTTTTTAAAGAAAATGAAAAAGATTCAAGATTCTTTTCAAAATAAAGGATCTTAGATACAGATACTAGTATCTTCTTAAAAATGTCAATAAGATACTGAGTACAAGATACAAAAGGATCTTGTATCTTAGATACAAGTATTCGCGGTACTGCCCAACTCTGGTCGTAAATTATTCGCTATGCAAATTTTTTTTGAAATTAGCTTCGCTGTTTAAAAGGATCATCAGATGGTATAATTAATATTAATATATTAATAAAATTCTTTAGTAAATTTTGGTCATTGTTTAATATATTTATGCTGTCCGACGGCGTGCATTATAATTATCTTAAATTTTAATTACAGTTATAACTCAAATGCTACCTGATGATTTGATATGACATGTCTGCACTATCTGACGGATCCAGTACTATATGGTATGTGATACTTGCGAATTGGTATATTTTATTAATATCTTCCTATAATTGAATAAAAACATTTTCATATTATATACATCTCATAAATATATATTTACCGATTATTACTTTATTTATCATAACATATGGCTCCTTATTTAAATTCCACTTAATTGGATAAAACTTTTGAAAATACACTATTATTATATTTTTTTAAAGTTACAGGAAATAAGGTTTTTAAAAATTGATTTTTGTTGTTGTTTAGTAAATTCATGTATGTAGACCGACGTTCTGTATCATTCTCTTAAAGATAGAATTATAACACCACTAGAAAATTTTCTGAATATAAATCAATATAAAAAATGCTAAAATGTAAAATCCCATAAAAATATTCCTTAATTATGGAAGCTCATAATTTTTATAATTATACCTTTAATAAAACTCAAAATGATAAAATTAATATAACTTCGAAAGATACAATTTTTTTACAATCACCTTTTACTCAAACCATAACAGGTTTTTTTGCATGGATTGCAATACTAATCACTTGTCATCAAGTAAATTTTTTTATATAATTCAATCTAATATTATATTTAGATATATAAACATTTAAGATATTATTCTGTACCAAATGAACAAAGGTGGATAGTAAGAATCTTATTCATCGTTCCAATATATGCATTTGATTCATGGCTGAGCCTTGTGTTCTTTAATAATGATAATTACTATATCTATTTTAACACTATTCGTGATTGCTATGAAGGTAATTTATTAATTCTAGATAAAATTTATTGCATAATATTATTAAGATTATTACATATTTTTTCTGGAAAGCTCTTTTGTGTGATTGCATATTTATTTTTTAATTTAAAAAAACATTAAAAATAAATAATATTAAAAATTTCCCCAAGTTTCAGTGCATTACCTAATTTTAATACCTTTATCTATTTTATAATATTCAGCATTCAATCTATGCTATTTTAGTGTTGTTAAATGGCTCAATTTGGGCTGATTTAAAAAAAGATAAACTCAATATTGTAGACAGGTAAATATTGCCTCTGCCTTAAGATCTCACTAATAGATGCCCTAACCTTTCTGTCATCTATGAATAAAATCTTCATTTTATTACAAAATATTTGAAAATTGAATGTAACTGATCTGATTTAAACTAATTTTCAATTACGATATAAAAATAATAGAGAATCTAATATATCATTAGATGTGTTCTTTTTTAATAATTTGGCTGGCAGAATATTTACTTCTTACTGAAGAAGCTGAAATAGCAATAAACCATTTGTTTATAATTCTTGCCATTAAGTTCAACCTCCCTATTTAAAGAAAATTATTTATTGATTTTTTTAATTGAATATTGAAAGTAAGAATGGGAAATACAAATTAATTATATTTCAGGCTAAGCAGAGCTAATATATTATCTATGATGTTCTGACCTTCAGGCTGGCCTTGTAAGACTTTTGTATCAGGTCCTCCTTGCAAATTTATTATCAGATTATGGACTTATACTCGATAATTTGAAATAATGGTTTATGGGCAAATTCTTTTGAGACATGTTTCTTATTTTTTTTAAACATAATCTACTTGATATTGTTAAGACAAATATAATTGTTGCCCAAAATAAGAATTTTTAAATTGTGTCCTTTTCTCCTTCCTTTGACTATATAAAGTGCATCACTAGGGTTTAAAAATATATAGGTGATAAAGTAAGATCTAGAGATCTGCAAAGTTAGGCCCAGCCCATACCCATCCCGAGTCCGGCCCAACTATTTGGGCTTGGGCCTAATTCTATGTATAATAATCTAGTCGGGCCGGGCCTAATATTTTTAAAAAAATTTGGGATGGGTCAGGTTGGACCTTGGGAATTTTTTTAAATATATCTAAATTTATAAATTTTATATTGAATTTTTTATGTAAAATAAAAATATTTGATTTTATTTATTGAAACTAAACGACATATAACATATGTCTTTTATTTTGAGTAATTATAAAAATTAATTTCTATATTTAAATAAATTCGAGCCTGGTCGGGTCGGTAAATTTTTTTAAAAAAAATTTGGGTTTGGGCCAGGCTGGCAGAACTTTTTTAAAAAAAATTCAGGTTCAGGCCGGGCCGACAGAACTTTTTTTAAAAAAATTCGAGTTTAGGCCAGGCCGGCAAAACTTTTTTTAAAAAAATTTCTGGCCAGGCGGCCTGATGCAGATCACTAGTAAGAGCAGTGGGGAAGCGAGAATTTGCCCGACCTTTGGTCGGGTCCCTATTATAAAATATTCTTATATATTATTGATTTTTTGGTGGTCTTTATAAGATCTCCATGAAAGTTGGCTGAACAAGCCATAATTCTAAAATATGGCAATGTTTTTTTCTTAATTAATGTCACTATAATTAGTATAGTAACCAGTTTAAAGAATAAATTTTAGTATCAAGATTTTGGCTAACCTTAAGATTAAAAACTAACTGAGCATTTATTCAGTAAATTTTATCAATGTTTAGATCATATTTGGATGTTAATTTTAATCCGTTTGGCGAGCAGTTTAAAAAAAAGGAAAATTGCCAAAATAGATATCGTGCTAAAATAGAAAATATAAAAAACTATATATCTAGCGTGCGCCAATATTTAATGCCTGATTAAATTCCTAACTCAAATTTAAGAACCACGAAAAGAAAAGGTTCAAAATAAAAACTATGACGTCAGGCTCTAAGCGTGAAATGAGCCAAACTTTTGGAAATGCTATTTATGAAAAGGTTAGGCTTTATTAGTATATTTTATCGCTTTATCCTCTTTGGTAGTTGGCTAAAATAGCAAAATAATTGCAGGTAGAAAAATAAAAAAATTTCAAAATTAGCATCACGCCAAAATGGAGAATATAGAAGTTCTAGCTAATGTTAATATTTAAGGCCTTATTAATTCTTTAATCAATTTCGTCAGCCATTAAAAAGAAACCGAATTATGAACCAAAAACTAACTCTGATATTATCTTAAGCGTAAAGTTAACTAATCATCTGGAAGCATTATCTGAAATTTATATCAATAATTAGGGCCTATTTCTTCTTTGCTGCTTCAACCCGTTTGGTAGATAGTTAGAAAAACATTGCAAAATAAAATAAATCGCTAAAATTGGCATCATGCTAGAAGGAAAATATAGAAGTGATAAACAATAGCATGATTAATACTTACTAGTTCATCGAACAGTTTTTTCCAGCCAGTAGATAAAAATCAGTTATAAAAATTACGGCAAGTCAGCTAAATCTTAAATATCGAATTTAATTATCAAAAATTAATTTTCTCTAAATATATTAAGGTTTCTCTTTCCCCGATTCTATCTTGTAATTTTATGATTTTCATAGATGTTATTTTAAATATAGTAGTAATATAAATCTTATTAAACATGATAGAATGAAAATTCTAGAAGCACAAAAGCAATTTTAAAAAATTATATACTCTAAATATCAACAAGTTTTACTATTATTATCATAAAAAATCCTATCATATTTTTAAAATATATAGACTTAATGTGGTTGTAACTTTGGTACTTTTATATTTAATAGCCGTAAAGGTAGTCATATAGTGCTTAACGTCTGTTGAAATTTGAATAAATTAATGATTGTTTCTTGGTAATGAAATCGACAAAGTAGATTTTTTTAAAACAGGAATATGACAAACTAGAGGTTGTTTTTTAAATTTTAGCCTTCTATTTAGTAAATTTTAAAAAATTTGCGGGTGGTGGGGGGGGGGGGGGGTTTAAAAGAAATTGCATTAGGACCTTAGGAATTTTATTTATTTAAAATTGCAAAAAATAAAGATTACCTACTATTAGCTTAATTGTTCCTGCCTCAATAGAATTTATTTTTTCTCTTCAAAAACGTTAAAATTTATGGAAAAGTAGCGCTTAATATCATGCCTTTTCCTTTTTTTTAGCAGGCGCTTGGCTATTTTTTAGAAAATTTATATTAAGCTGAGATGAGCCTCTGGCTTCTTAAATCGGTAGCTTATTAAATTTTTTATACAAACTTTAAAGGGGGTAGCCCAGATAATAAGATACTCTTATAGATTCATTATTCAATTTTGATACGATTTTTTTGAAAAAAATGGTGTCTAAAATGCACATTTAAATTGCGGGGTTTTTTTAAAAATATTATTGATAAGATAAAATATGATATCTTAATCTACAAAAAAATATATTATCCATTTATCCCCCCGGATATTTTTCCTAATTAAATATCGATTTTTAAAAAAAAAATTAAATTTTTTTTATTATTTTAGTTAATATATTGTTTAAAATTCTTTAAAAAATATTATAACAAATTGTCCTTCATTTTTCTAGACCATGTCATTGTGAATTAAAAACACTATATGGTAACTACACTTGATATAAAAAAATCAATAATCTAATCAAAATGTGACTTTTTAACCCCCTTGCCCTGAGGAATTTATATTTTCAACTGATTTATAAATTAAATATATAATAATATATTCTTTGTAGCGTTTGTTATATACAACTTTCTGAGTTTGTGCTATGAATACCTGAACGGTGAAGGTGCCATAATGTCTGAACTCCGAGGAAAACCCATTCCGTAATTTATTATTTTATATAGAAATTAGTTTATTTTTTTTTAGCCAAAATTTATGTTTCAGCACTTGTTGTTTTTCTTCTAAAGCCTACACCATCGAATTTTTGCGTTTTGTCAAACAGGTAAAATATAACGCCACAAAAAAAGCTTAATTATTTTTTATGTTAGGCCACTCTTCAATTCTGTTTCGTTAAACCTGTTGTGGCAATAATTACATTAATCCTGCAATTTTATGGCCTCTACAAAGATGGAAATTTTAGGTATGATTTAATGTCACACTTACATACTATTTGTATTTGTGGAAATGAAATGACTACTTATAAGAATTTTTCTTTGCTATTATGGCTTTTATTTTAATATTCTTTTTTCTAAAATTTAATCAGGATTAATTCAGGATATCTTTACGTGACAATGATCTACAACGTTTCAGTGACGTTGTCCCTAACAGCTCTTTACCTGTTTTATGTAGCGACTAAAAATATGCTCCGTCCATTTGACCCCATACTCAAATTCTTATCGGTCAAATCCATCATTTTTCTTTCCTTTTGGCAAGGTTGCGAAATATATATGTTTACCATTCACCCTGACGAGTTCATGTTTTTTTAATTTAAATGATACTAATGAAATCTTAGAATTTAGTCTTACTTAAAAATAAGTAATTTTTTTTAATTTAAAAATTTTTTTTATACAGGTTAAGACATTTATTAGACTAAATATATTTTAGATGGAAGTGGTGTTAATAGCTATTCCACACAATGCTTTTCTGATTGGTCCAAATTTTGTTACCAAATTAAAAAAAAATGTATACCATTTTTATTAATTGACATTAATTATTTTAGCCAACTTGATTACAAAATTAGGTTTTATTCGTTAACGGAGTTGAGAAATGTATTGATGATTTCAAAAATAATTTTATCGATCAATATAAGGCTAATACTCTACTACTAAAGCCAGAATAAATTTCTTCTGAACTTTGTATGAAATTCAAATATAAGCATACATTGAATAGGTGCAAGTTTAACGGGGTAAAGGAGAAGCGATCGAAAGGGCTTAGAAAAGCTACAAATTTTAAAAATAGACTACCCCTTTAGTGTTTATTAGCTTGCAGTTATATAAAGATAATGAATATACATTTGAAGTAAATTTCATTTAATTAGCATAACAACTATGTTTTAGATAAATTTTATAATAAATATTCAAGTTAACAAATTTAATTATCATAGATTACGAGTAGCACGAGCGACCATGATCCAACTGTATTTCTATTGGATCTTTAAGTCATACTGACTCAATTTAAATAAATATTTTTTAAATGTATTTTATAGAGATAAATATTTAGATATTTTTTTTATAATTGATATTACTAAAAAAAAAGATAAAATGGTTTACAATCATCTGCCTAATTTAAGATATTTAGATGAAGATGTCAAAGTAAGAGTAACTTGAAGCTCTAAAATTTAATGGGAATAAAAAAAATATATCAATCTATAATTAAAACAATAATAATTTTATATTAAAAGACTTTCATAATTTAAATCCAGCTGAAAGTAGGTATGATTTGATAAAATTTAATTTAAAGAAATGAAGAATATTCTGATGCTATTATTGAAATAGTTGAAAGAAACAAGATTCTTCCCGCTAATAGAATATGATAAACAGTCTAAAATTATATCTTAAAATTTTATTTATAGATCCAACTTATATCCTAAATAAAAATCTGATGCCTGTGTTTATGGGACTTTGTAATTGATAATAACAATGAAAGCTAACTGGTATTTATATGGATCCCCAAAGTCGAAGCATATGGACCAGTATTAATTTGAAATATCATAATATGATCAATATTAGAAAAGCTTAAATAGTTAATAACATTAAGAATTCAGGATATGATATAATTTTTTATGATTTAAATACTAAATACAATAATATCCCGGGATAAATTAAATTGTTCAAAAACTTTAGAGAATGCATAGTTGGTGAAGCAGCATTTGATATTCATAAAGTAGAAGATGTACCATACATTGGTTTATTATCTATTATACTTCTAAGCAGCCTTTCATCAGGGTGAATATAACCCAATCTTGAATGCTTTATAACTATTTTTGATTTAATGATTCCACACAATTTTTGCATTCGCCAGATTTATTATTCTAGCACAGGGAAGGTTAAGATAATTTGTCTTATATAAATACTCATAGCTTGCTTCAGATTTGATCTGTCATCATATTTAGAATAAATAGAAGCCTGATATAATTTAGATTTTGTTAAAGGACTGCTTAACATGAAATAAACAAATTTCAATTTTGCTTTAATAAATGCTTAGCGGTTCATAAAATCTTTAATTAGACATTATTACTTGGATTGAATCTGTAATGTTTTTTAAAATATATTACATATCTTTAACAGTAATACATATGTCTCAACTATGAGGATCCATATGAATAATATTTGACTTTCATTTTTGTTATTAGTTATATATCTTAAAAACATTGAGATACGATTTTTATTTGAGCTATAAGTTGCATCTATAAACAAAATTTTTGAATATAACTTAAGATTGTTTACCATTTCTGATTTTGATAATAAATAGGTTGGATAAATAGTCATGTTTTCTTTAACTATTCAATAATAGCACCAGGATATTTCTCTAATTAAATTCTTACTTTCCGTTGGATTTATGGCAGAGTTTCAAATTATGAAGGTGATTTAATATAAAATTATTATTGTTAATTATATTGATTTTTATTTATTCCTGTTAAATTTTAAAACTTCAAGTTATCTTTCTTTGACAACATCATCCAAATGTCTTTGATTAGGTAGATGATTGTAAACCACTTTATGATATTGTTAACCTGAATATTTATTATAAAATTATTTGAAACTTGAAATTTACTTTAAATTTATATTCATTATCTTTTTATAACCGCTAGCTGGTATATACACTAAAAGGACACTTTTTTAAAACTTGTAATTTATACAATAGATGCCTATATTTGAATTTCAAACAAAGTTCCAAAGAAATTTGTCCTTCCTTAATAGAGCTTTATGGCCTTGTATAGATTGATGAAATTATTTTTTCGAAATTATCAATACATTTCTCTAACACCTTTATTGAATAAAGTTAACTTTAGTAATTGAGTTAGACATTTTTAAAGATCTTTAATAAATATGGTATAAATTTTTAAATTTGGTGGCAATAATTGGATCGATCAAAAGGGGGATCTAGGCACTTCCTTGTTTTGTTAGTTAAATAATTTATTACTTAAATATTTATTTAGAAAACATATTCTAATGATTATTTACACAATTTTGTTATATCTATGCTATGATTATATTATAACTTATAAAATAATTCAATAATTTATTCTCTGATTAGGTGTAAGCTTAGCCATTTTAGAAAAAATGAACGTTATAAATCCGCTTAAAACTGAAGATGCAATTACTACCAGTTCAGGAACTGTCGCTGCTGGATACCAAAATTTTTTGGTTTGTATAGAAATGTTTTTGGCTGCAATTGCGATGAGATACGCATTTCCATACGACATATACTCTCAAGTTTTACAAATACCTGTTTTTAAATAAATTATTGAAGATTTATTTATTAATGCCTCCTTTACTAAAGTCTCAGATAGAATTTTTTTAATAGGAAGGTGATTTATTGAGGATTTCATTTTTATATTAATTTTAAAAATTATAATGTTAAGGGTTAGGGCTAATGCTTTAGTTAATTTTAGATATATCATGAGTTAATCAAGTTTTTGTATTTTTTGGAATATGTAATAAGTTGCTTTTATTATGTTACTTCTAACTATGTCTGTGCCGATCCGCCAATTTTTTTCTTATCTGATATTAATATAAAAACGATCTGTGAATGTGATTCGTTAAATACTTTTCTTGTTGCAAATAAAATAACAAAGTTTTTTTTCAAACGGTCCCAATTTGTAATATTGGCATAGTTCTATTTTAAGCTAATTTTAACAATACTACCCCCTCCCCATTTTTTTCGTGCAGAATCATATAGGAGGTAAGGGTCATCGAGTTACCATGCAAAGCATATCCAATAGCTTAAAAGATACCATGAACCCAAAGGATATGATGACAGACGCTATACACAACTTCCATCCACACTATTCACATTACACCCAATATCTCTCTAACAGTGCAAACAACGCTAATTCCAGTAACGCATCAACGAATGTTAACTCTGGGTTCTCAGCCAAGAACAAAACCAGCGACCAGGGAAGCAACAAAAATAAAGGTTATGGATCCGCTTCTAAATACTTGGGCAGTTCTAAGTCGAAAAAGCATGTTAAGCAAGCCTCCACCACGTCTTCCATCGATTTAGATCTAGGAATAGGTTCTATTAGATAACATTTTTATGATTAACGATATAAATTAAGCGATTCTTTGCTATACTACATTGAAACATTTTATTTATAAGGATTTGTAGGTCGTGATGAAGAAGATACTGTCAAAATTATTCCAGAAATACTTAAAGAAAAGGAAGATAATTTAGAACAAACACCCAGAACAAACGTCAATAATAATGTCACTAATACTTCATCCAACTTACTTATTTTAGATTGAAGTCTACAATTATTTTTATTGCCACATAACTCGTTTAAATTATTTATTTTTCTTAAATTAAAAATTATCGCATAAAATAAATAAATATTTAGTCTGAATTCATACTTTATAAAAAAAATGACAAAATGAACGATCTCATTAAAAAAAAGATCATGCACATTTATTTATAAATCAAAAAAGTGTTCTATAACAATATTTGAAATTCGATTTTTAATCCAGCATTGATATCAATGCGTCGAAAAACTTGCTTTTATCCTTACTCTTAATCATTATGATTGTCGGGTCGAAATTCGTGAGATTGAAAGTTGAGTTAGTATTACCAGCTGCTTGTTCGAATGCTTTGCCTAAAAAACTTATTAATAAAGTTTTAAAATATATTTATAAGGCTAATGAGTTAGACTTATTTGTTCTTTAATCCTAGTGGAATCAGTTAATTTAAATCATGCCATTAAGAAAAGAAGAAAAATTATCTTGCAAATATTTTATATTTATTATTTCGGCTTTATTTGTTTTTTTTTAAATATTTATTTGTAAACAATTTTTTTATGATATGATGATTAATATTTTTTTTAAAAAAAAATTATATTTAATGTTAAATCTTATTTATTTATATTTATCACGTATATTTTTTTACTGTATTTTGAGTATTAACAAATTAATTATTTTTAATCATAATCAGAAATAATATATTGATTTTATAATGACAATTTAATTCATTTTTTTTATACAATATAATTTAACCCAAATAAAATGAAGTTTAATAATTATTTTAATTATTAAGTTCTGAAAAATAAGTATCAAAAATTAGTAAAATATTTATAATGAATGGCATATATGTATTTGTTAACACTATAAATTTTTTTAAATAAAATTGCTGCATCTTAGCTCGTCTTATTTTGAAAATTTAAGTAACAATGTGATTTTTAGAATAGAAAAAAATAAGAATAAATCAAAAGAGGATGGTGTTCATCATATTTTTATTTTAAGAGAGCATTCTAAACTGCTAATAAATTTAAACAATGGATTCATTAAAATAAAAATTAGGATCAAGTACGAGTGAAAAAAAATTGGATCTGGTAACAATTATCTTCCATTTTCCGATTGGCCAATGACCGATACTTTAAAAAAAATAAGAATGATCAGGCTCAAAACTGATATTAAAAAATATGAATTAAAAATTAAGCATTTATTTTTTCTGGAAATATATAATCATAAATAAATCACGTTATAGATTCTTTGAATTAAAACAGGAATTTACTTTTTAGAAGAAGTTTCAATTATAGAAATAGGGGGTAATCCTATGATAGTACACGATTCCGGAAAATTTTCGTGAGCTTTATGGGGAACGCAAATAGCTAAAGGCAAATTTTTCGTCTTCTTTTTGCTATTATTCTAAGTTTAAATGTAAAAAAAATGCCACATTTTTTTTTATATAAATGGGAAAAATGAATACTTTGGCATGGTATGCATATAATAAAAAATTTGCTAATCGCCTGAGTATGTTGGGATTCATGAATCTGGCTGTTTTTGAGGAGTGCTAAATATATATTAATATATAAATTAACAGTAATATAAACTTAAATTTTTTTAAAATTTATGAAGGTTTAAATTATCATTTTTGAGGATAGATCAAATGGTCCAGCCCTATCAGATTTGACAAATTATTAATAAAAATGATTAAATTTTATCTTAACACTAGCTCATATCTCTCAAACCTAACCTTTAATCCTACCTACTCTAAATATATTTCATCCAATTAAAAAATTTCACTGAGTTATGGATTCCTTGAATTAGTTATTATCAGGCCAATGGCATCAGCTAAATTGAAACTATTGGTACATATCTCTGAAACATAGATTAAAAATGTTTTTTAACCTTATTTAATAAATTTAACTTAACTTACAAATAATTATTTTGGATGTAAAAATCCGAATTAATATCTTCTGCTTAAAAAATTCACACCTCTGGCAATGAGGCATATAAAAATGGTCCTACGGTTAACATCTGATGGGTGTCTAATACTGAGAGCGCTTCGTCGAATATGAGTTTAGCTTGCGATTTGGCTAATTCTATGCCCTTACATAGGAGAGAAAAATTATCTTTGTTAATAGAGAGGCAATCGAGAGTGCTAAAAAAGTCTAGGTTTTCTTCCGAATAACTGAGATTATTTTCTTCATTAGTAATTGCAAGAGCATCGGTATTGTTAGCTTGGGTTTGCATGCTGTCACATGTGTGTTGGAAAGGTAAGTGAGGTCTATTAGAATTTACAGGATTCTGAATTTGCAAATTAATTTTTTTTTAGATATAAGATAATATATGAAATTCTTTTAAATTTATAGCCACCTGAACTTTTAAAAGTAATCAGAATTATATTATTTATTAAATTGAATCTTTTTAATTCTTAAATAATCTTTATTTGATTAGATCTCTTGATATCAAAATAAAAATTTAAGATGAACAGGAAAACTGTACTACAAGCCATGAAAAAAAAAATAATAAAGTTAGATTCATTAGAACTAGATGACGATTTTTTTAAACTCTTCTATTTATAGTAGATATTATCACTCAAGATTTTATAATTTTAATATGTGCATTGTATAACAATGCGTGGAAAAAAATGGTAAATGAAAATTATTGATGTTATTTTTAAAATAGACCTTTTTTTTATGTCGCCACTAATATCTCGCCCTCATTTGACCTAATTAGTTATGAATTGTTCGTTTTATCTCCCTATTGTATAACATGTGATTCCGAAAGTTGGTTAACCAAAATTGGTTACTAATTTATATTTTAATAAGGCATCTCGAGCAAATACATTTGATAAAATTAATTAACATATTAGCTAATTTAGTCGAGGTATAATGAAATAGGCAAAATCCAAAAAGCGGTACTCAAATAGGAATAAACCTATAAATGGAGAATTTAATGAGGAAAAATAAATTGACTAGCCCAGTCAAGCCCCCCCCCCTTCCCATAAAGAAAACGATAATTTTTTAAAAAAACCTTTCCCACATAAAAAAATGAAAGTTTTTTAAAAATGGCGAAAATATAATGTACAAAAAAGAGAAAGAAATATAAAAAAAAACAAAAAATAGATATTATTTTTTATTTCATAATTATTTTAAAATTTAACCCCCCCCCCCCCTCCCAAATGGAACTAAATATTAGACATGTTAATTTGTTTGAAATGAATTACACAAGAATATATATACCAAATTAGAGTTCTTTTTTTTAGCAATTTACCGAATTTTCTAAGATTGAATTTAGTGCCAACGTGTAGTCTGTAGCGCCGAAACTTTTGTTATAACCAAATGAAATAGAAAAAGATGGAAAGTTTATGTCTTCGATTCTGTGTCAAATAAATTTTTTTGCAAAAAAAAATTAATAACTTCCATTCCAAGCGTATTATCTAAAAATAAAGATTTCAGTATTTCAAAAATTCCTTCTAGCCCTAAAATAAATCACGAATCTTTAATATAAAATGTATAGATCAGACAGTAGTTAATAAATACACCATATAAATGTAAAAAAAAGGACAGAAGGTGTTTTCAAAAAAAAACCAAAAAGTGCAAAATACAAAAAATAAAGAAATCAATATTAAATCAAAAACTTAGTTTTCTTATCAATTATTACTAATATTAGAATTTATTTTAATTTTTATTACATAAAGTTAAATTTTAAAACTAGTTTTAAAAAAAAACCAAAAGAAAACAAAGTTTATTAAAAATCAATATTTTCTTTATCAAAGAGAGAAAGTTGTTCAAAATGCCAATTATGAACAGGGCTATGTTGATCTGCAAATTATTCACATATATGACCTAATATTACCACAAACCCGATCCGATATATTTATCGATTCTTATTTACAATCTATCCTTGAACCAATGTCATAGAAAAAAATTAATTTTTTATTCAAAAAACTAAATAACTAACTACGAATGAGTAAGTGCAATTTGTTTTTTTTATTCTCAAAAAGTTAATAACCTCATTTAAAATATGGGCAATATTTATCGTTAAAATGTTTTGTTGTTAAACACCTTAATTTAAGCGATTTTTAAAAATAGCAAAATCAAATTCTAGAAAATTTGTTATTACCTATGTATCGAAATTTCCCTCATAGATGTATAAACCTTTCTACCATCTATGGGAAAAATCTTCAAGCTTAGATAATTCTTTTGGCTAATATCTTAATTTAGCCTTTTTTAAAAAAATAATCGGCTAAACAAGGAGTTTAACAACACTAGCCGAATAAGACTTGTTAGATATTTTAAAAATTCTTTCTTTGCAGCAATATAATTATTCAATTTTTTATAAATAATTATGAATAAATTAAATTTGATTTCCTATTATTAATTTATTATTACACACAATCATAAAAAACCAAAATATGTATCAGTTTTTTAAATATCTGTTCGATCCTATATTTTTTTAAAAAACGCTAATTATCTGGATATTTAATATCGACACAGCCCTAATTATAAAATGGTACTATAATACAACCCACCACTTCGTTCGAGATAATTATAAATTTCTTGTTATAGAAGGTTTATCATCAGAAAAATAACAATAAGGAAATAATATTCTTAGTTTTTTACATTTTATCGTCACTAAGAAACGAAATTAACTACAAATACTTTATAAATGATATTGTTGGTTTGATATAAATGCTACTTTTATTATTTCATTCAAAAAATAATTAAATGATGAATTATCACAAATATCTAAAACTTTTTTAAAAACAAGAACTTTAAGAATCACAAAAGTTCTTAAAACATTCTAATTATATTAAAAAGTTAACTTAATCAAATTTTATTTTTACAAAGGTCAATGTAATGAAATAAATACCTATATTTTTCTGCGAATTCTTCAATCCACATTTTGGCGTTCTTCCTATATTGAAAATCCATGCACATAAACTTTTGCTTGCTTTGACTCAGAGGTATGCTAATTCAATTTTTTTTGATTAAGATACACACAAAAAACAATATATAAATATTTATATGCCTATCTCATCCTCATAGATTACAAGCATTTAGATTGATAGAATTATGATATTATACAATGATAAGACAAAATTTTGTGCTAAGGTAATCTTTAAAATATAGGTAATTAAATTCAAACAGCCTTCGTGAACGATTCAATCAGTTTTTTTAATGAAAATAAATCACAACATACTGTACCAATAAAGTTTATAATTATTAACCCCATATCAGCGAGAAATTCATTCAAGCGTTTCCGGCCAGCAGTGGTCCAAACTTTAAAATGGCAGGCTATATTTTTAGAATAGAATAGGCTGTCAAAAAGTGTCCAATGCCTATACATGTACAAATTCAACTCCGATATCACTTTGATAAACACTTTTTCGTTGTTTTGTGGGTCTGTCCTTAAAATTAATATTTTTAATAAACAAAAAATTAAGATTAATTTAGTAGGTTTTTTTATAAAAAAATTATCGTTCGCTTTTTGGGTCAATCATAAACTTAATTATCCATAAAATTTACATGGTGCCTTCATAAGTTGACCATTGATATAAACTTTTTTTGTCAGTTTATATTATTTGTCAAGGAGGTATAAATCCAATCCATATGGTCAAAGTAAGGAGGTGATCACCTTGAAAATTTTCTAGAACATAGACTAGACAATATATAAGATTACGAAATGACATCACAGTACTATATATTATATGGATCATTAATACAAAAATAAAGATAAACTTATGATTTAAGCGGTGAACATGATTTTTCAATTTGGAAAGTTCCAAAATGTATTTTTCAAGTTGAATGTTATTGTTTAAATAATGATTGGTAAGGGCAAGTATAGCACACCACAAAAGTGAGTTAGTTTCCTTGGAAAGCATCCACGATATGTTATACATGATCAACGATGTCTAGGAAAATATGGGTAATTTTTTAAAAAAAAATTGTTTAGTCAAATAGAAAGAAAAATAAATATAATTCCTCCAATTAAGATATCAACGGTTCTAATCTGATTCTTAGTTAAGAATTCTAATAGTTTATTTATAATGGTTTGTTCCAGTTTAGATATTAATATTGATTCTTTTGGGTTAGTATGGCTTTTATCAGAGTTGTGCAGACCATGAATACTGTATCTTGTACACAGTATCTTTTTGACATTTTTATAAGATAATATCAAAGTATATATCTTATTTTCTTCGGCAATCTTGAATTAATTTTCTTATTTTTTGGCCAAATTTTATGGAAAATTCAAAATTCATATTAAGATAAATAGATATAAAATAACAACATCAAAATGAAATATGTAAAGATTATATTTTATATATAAATGTAACTTGATAAAATATCATTACCAATTTTATGTAATATTTTATAATTTGTTTGTAGTATGATTAAAACTCATGGTAGTGAAGAAAAAAGTAGTGAAATTTAAATCATGGAAATAAGTTGCTCTGAATCTAATCCCTATTTTAATATTTTATATGGAAATATTTTAAAATAAAAGTTAAAAAAGACAATACACAGGCTCTGTATAAACAAAAAAAATGAAAAAGGGTTCAGTACAAATTTTTTTAAACATATTAAAGTAAATTATTTATATGTGGTTAAATGGGATATAGATCATCTTAAAAATTCAAGTTTACAATATTGTCTACCATTATTAAAAGCTACCCAAGATGGTATGGGCAAACGATTTTAAGAAAATATATTTCTACATATAATGAGACTTTTTTGGCATCAATTTCACATCTATATTTTAAGAACTAATGGATTGAGCTGGATGATAAAAAAAATACTTTCAAAATATATTATTAAAAGAAGCCTTCAATAGAATACCAGAGTATATAATCAAGCTCAAACTATAACACCAATAGATTTAACATCTAGTAAAGAAATGTAGGATTATTTTTCTTTTAATGAAACAAATGTTGCCAAGTTTGAACTGGAGACTTTAAATTATATTAAGAAAGTTGAGATACATCATAAATGCTTAATTATTATCCTTCTATTAGAAAAATATTTTTAAAATATATTACTGCAATACCTATATCAGATTCAATTGAAGTGTTATTTCGTTTTGGCACATTGTTAAGTATGCTGAAATGACAAAGGTTTAATGATAAATTATTTGAAAAATTTGATTATCTCATAAAATAATGAATCTATTTTAAATACTCTTTTGTAAATTAATATTTCAACTCCTATTAAAAAAAATACTATCTCTTCCCTATCTGTGCTAAGAATGGGATATCTTTCTTAAAATATTTGTATGTTATGTTCTTAATAAATAATAAAACTGTATTTTATAAATTCTTATTTAATTTGATAATTTTAAAGTATCTTGTTTTTAAGATACTTTAATTTAACAAAAGATATAAGTATCATTATATTTTCTGACTAGAATCTGTATCTAAGATTCATTTTTTTTATAAAGAATCTGCATCTAGATTTTTTTTTCCAAAGGACCTGCCCAATTGGCTTTTATAAATTTTAATTTTTTTAAAATTAATCATATTTTATTTTAATGAACCATCTAATAAAAATATTTTATAATAAACACCCTTCAAAGAAATGTTTAATAATTAAGTGCCATAACCTTAAACTATATATAAATCTGTATTATTAATTTTGTAAATATATTAAATTATAAATATAATTTTAAAAATCATTATGAACCAGTGCATAAGCATTTATAACACTTTTTTTTCTCCTCCTGAGATTTTATTATAATGCTTTCCTGGTTCAGAAATTCATTATAATCAATGATATCTTCAATAATAATATTATTTAATCCATTACTAACAGGATTGGCCCAGTATGAGTATTGAGTATATTCCGACAAAACCTTTTGGCGAATTTCCTCAATTCTTATCTTTTTCTTTTGTCGTTTAAGAGTTTTTACTAATTTATTAATATTTTCATGTTTTCTCTCATCATCAGAACTATTACTAACATCAGATTCATTCTAATTGAAAATAAAATGTTAAAAATCTATAAAATGTTAACTCTACTCACCTCATTAGAAGGAAAAATATCAGCATAATCAGGAAATGATTGTTCTTCTTCTTCATCAACAACAACTATCACTTGTTCTACATTATATATATTATATACATCGATTGGACGATGACTAAAATACTTATAATATGTTATATATACAAAAAATGTACTGATCAATTATATAAAAACGAGTTTCAGGAGGGGGGTTTAAATATTCAATAATATCAAAATTAGCCCCACAGTTTATTAAAATAATATTTTGAAAATGTGTATAATCTTGGTATACTGTCAGTAATGCATATTTATCCCGAATAGGTATTACAGAATAAGATAAATTATCAGATTGCAGCAACTCCTACATTCAAAACACTAGAATTTATATTTTATAAATAGCTTACTATTAAAATTTTGGATGAACAAATTGAATCAACATCAAATGATACAAGAATTAGAACTTTCTAAAAATAAAAAATAAACATGGTATTTTAAATAAGAATAACTTGATTACAGAGCTTTCTATAAAACTCCTCTATTATTTGATTCGTTATCATCCAAATACATTTATTTGAATATTGCGGGATAATCACATAAAAGATTTGCTAAAATAAAATTGACAACCTGCCTGTTTAAAAGATATATGAAATAATATTTATAAACATATGTTTATCTAATAAAATATGATCAAGTAGTCGTAATCCATTAATTAGGCATTTAAACTTATGATACTTCACATATACATAATCTAGTCATTTTTTCATAATTATTTATCTCGTAGTCATTTAATCTAAGCAAACCTATATTTTACCATAAAGCTGAGTAGATTATTATTTGACAAATATTCTGCTGTTTTATAAGTACATTATCACATGTTGTTTGCTAGGAAAGTTATTTTATCCAAGATAATTTTTATTATTACAAATGAATACATATCTAATAAATTTATTACTAATTGGATACTAAAACCATTAGTTGAACTTTATTTTTATGAATTCGATATTAAATCTCAACATCTACATATATTTGTCAAAACTATTTATAGTTTATTTTATAAAATAAGTAGTGGATCAATCTTATCCAAAATGATAATATTTGGAATAATCAAATCTTGAATAAGAAAATATCAATTTAGTAAGCACAATCTAAGTGACCCATTTCCCCATTAAAATAAATAAATTTTTATTATAATAATTTCGTTTAATAGCACTTTATTTGTATAGTGGATTTTCAGGTGAATTTCCTTTTTCTATTATTCCCATATGACGAGATATAGCTTTGAACCAGAGACTGCCTCTAAATGTTTGATATTATAATTTAAATTTAGATATACATATAATTTTAAAATATAGGCGTTAAAGCAAGGGGAAGTAATTTAAGAGTACATTTTAAGGTAAAAATAAATTGAATATATAGATAATAATTTTATTAAGAATACTCGCGAAACAGCTCATGCCATACGACATATGCACTTAAGAAGGGCTATAAGATATTTAAAAAACGTTATTGTTAAAAAAGAAATAGTGCCTTTCAAACGTTATAACGGTGGAGTTGGAAGAAAAGCTCAAGTAATTTTGCATGAAAGAAAATATATCATATATAATAAAGGCCAAAGTTTGGAAATGGACACAAGGAAGATGGCCTAAAAAGTCAGCTGAATTCTTATTACAGTTATTAAAAAATGCTGAAAGCAATGCTGAATATAAAGGTCTTGATACAGATCATTTAGTTATTGAACATATTCAAGTTAATCGAGCCCAAAAAATGAGAAGAAGAACATATAGAGCACATGGACGTGTAAATCGTAATAATTTTATAACTTATTTTTCATTTATTTAATAAATTTTTAAGCTTACCTTTCAAGTCCTTGTCATATTGAATTGATTTTAATTGAAAAAGAGCAAGCAGTTTTAAAATCAGGAGTTGAAGAAATTGAATCAGGGAAAAAGAAATTGTCTCAGAAAAAATTAAAGAAAGCTAAAATGATGCAAAGAGGATAATAAATTTTATGATTATATTTAATTGTTATATAATAATATAATAAAATTTGTATGCCTGTGTTTGGTAATTGTTTTTTTAGACAGTTTAAATATATCAACAAATATTAAATTAATATTTATAGGTTATCTTGAAATTTATAATATTCCATATTTAAAATAAACACCTTGATAATTAATCTTATAGGAATACACATTGTTGCTAGTGTCACTAGTATTGGTGGTTCACAAATATTTTTTTAGAATAAGATAATCACAATTTTTTGCATATCCATCTTGTAAAATTCTAATTGGGTTTGACTTTTCCTAAAAATAGTAAAATTTTAATAGATTGGGCAACTTGTGGCAAAATTCTTAATAAGCTGGGCTTTGCACATCTTTATTTTGTATACTAAATCAGAGGTCTTCATGGACCTTAATTTTTTGACCAAGCCTGGCCCATTCCTGCAGTAAAAAAATCTTAAGGCCCAGGCCTGGCCTATTCCCATAGTAAGTCAAAAAAAATTCCAAACCCATATCTGAAAATTTAATTTATTGTTCTTTAATAAAAATAAACAATATTTTTTGTTTATAATTCTAAAATTTATTATTAGAAGAAAAAAGGTGGCAATATTTCTTTTTGTTACCAACTCTTTTAAATAAGCTAAATTTAAATTTATGCCCAAGCCCATTTTAAAAATTCAAAAATCCTGGCCTATGTCCATTGGAAAATATGATATTGGACTGGCCCATGGTACTCAATTTAGTAATAATTGAAGCGGGGCATCCAAAAATCATGCTTTGAATATTTATGAAATGAACTAAAATAAAAAATTGTATTTTAAACTTCTTTAAAGATGATTATATGTTGATATCACCTTAACTATGGGCCAAAAAAATTTTTTGGGTTGAACAAGTGCTGAATTTCACTCATTTTTGATCAAGTTTGGGCAAATTTTAAGTAATAATTAAAGAATTATTTTTCATTGAAACAAAGTAATTATTGATTTACAGCTTTTAATTTTTAAATTAAAAATTCAGGTTTCTGCTGGTAAAAAAAATTGAGCCAAATGCATTATTTTGTGCTTTCCTGTTTATTTCAAATTCATTGCCATGCCATGTGAAATGGCATTTCAATACTCAATAAGGAGTTGAAATGTGAATCATGTATTTTAACGAATATAGATACCATACACGATGTTCACTTATTTTATTAGAGTTTACCTCTTTGTAGTTTAATAGCTAAGGAAGAAGTAGATATAGTGAAGATTATTAGTTCCATTCCTGGCAGAATAGTAAGAAGTTGTATTTATAATTTTAAGTATACAATGTATCTGGTAAGCCTTTATGATTACCTAACATTCTTAGTTTAGGGATTGTTGATTGATAGACATCATAATTTTATGTTATGTTAAACATGTAATATAAATATTTCCATAGCTTTACGTTTTGACCCATTTACTTATTGGAATTATTCAAGTCTTATATTAAAATAAATTTATTTCCTATGAGTATGAACTGTGAAATGATTGTTATATTCATATTTTTAGCCTATTCATATATAGCTAACATCAATCAAAAAAGAAAAATTAATCACAGTCCATGGAAAAAATTTAATTGATGGCACACCGTGTTAGTCCTAGGTATTGTGGCAGGAGCATTGCAATTATAAAAAATAGAAAGCCCTTTAAAATAGTTGCAATTTTAGTTTTTCCAAGAATTTGGGGCAAATTTTTATTTATTTTTTTGAGTTTATATTGAAGCATTTCTATAATAAGATTTCTTACCAGTCATGATACGCCGTCGTTAACAGAAATCTAATTTTTGCAAAATATTTTCAGAAAATGGAACCGATAAGAAAATCCAATAAGGTATGAACTATCCCCTTTGCATCCTATCCACAATTACATTAATACTACAATTTTGTTTAAAAAATATTATTTCATGATGAATTTTTTTTTAATAATAAGCTAAAATAACATTATTCAATTTTAAGGGGCACTCTAAAAAATTTGTGCCTGCATATCTGAAAAGTATTGCGCGAGACTGACAACATTGATAATTCAAGAGTTTAAAAACCTTAGAGATAATTTTAAATTGTGGTATCATCCTATAATTTCCTATTTTAGAATTAACATTTTTATTAAAAAATAACCTGTTGGAACAGAATTTGTACATTAAAAAAAAGCCAGACAATTCATTCATTAAGAATCGGGGCGTTGCAATGCAAATCTCTTATTTTGAAATTGACTAACTAATATTCATTAATATAACAATGTGTTTTTCATATCTTAAGAGTTTCTAAATTAAATCTATAAATATGGTAAATTAATAAAAGAAATAATAATTTATTATATGATCCAATTACGATTAGACGATGTATATTATATCATAACACCATTGATTTATAAAACGGTTATTATAGAAATAGCCATAGAGTAGAGATATAAGAGCCTTCATTGGCATTGAAGATAAAAAGATATAGATATATAGACATTAAGAATATGATGGCTGGAAAAACGTACAAAAGTATTTAATGGGGCGAACTTCTTGTAAAATCTTAACAGGCCACGTTTAATTTTTCATCAAGTTTTAACAGCCCTAATTTTTCATCCGGTTTTGACAGACTGGGCCGTATTTCAAAAGAAAATATAGGCCCAAAACACCCAGGCTTTGCAGACCACTAATTTTAATTCAAATCACATGCTTCTTTTATCCAATTATTTATACCTCTATTGCTGATATGTTTCGATATTCTTAATAATTATGTTAGAATAGCTTTAATAATAATATATTTCTATTTTTTACACCCAATGATTCCAAGTGTTGTCATCATTTTACCACCTTACATACATTGTATTAAAAATTGAAATACTTTTGCATCTACGAAGCAGTTTTGTTATAAATTAGTGCGCTACTTTTTTCAGTAGCGGTAGTTTTAGCTGGCTACCTTTTTTAGAAAATAACGATAGCGGTAGCTCGCTATTAATTTAGAAAATAGCCAAGTAGCGCTTCAATTTTACATAATAAATACATCTAAAAATTATTAAAATATATTTTTTTGATTAAATCTAAAATTATAATCCTTTAATTTAATTTTGAAATTTATATTTAAAAATATACATTATAAAACTAGTTATCATTATAAATCTAGTTATTAAAAATGTGTGAGATTAGTGAAGATAGTGAAATTTCTTTGGAAAATGAGAAAAATATAGATTATCCTTTCCCAAAATTCAAAAAATACTTTAATCTTGAAGAAAAAATTACTAGTGGATATCGGTTTCAATGCAAGAAAATTTTGCCAAACACTGGTTAAAAGGCATTGAGAAAAGGTCAAAACTTTATTTTTATTTTCTATTATACAAATATAAAATGGAATATAGGAAAATAATTCCCCGGAAAAAAAATCCCGGAAATAAATACCCGGAAAAAAATTCCCATAGAAAATAATTCCCCGGAAAAAATTCCCTCTGAAAAAAATTCCCCATTTTTTAAATCCTATAAAATATTAAATTATTTTTATAAAATTAACAATATAGGAAAAAATATCCCCGGAAAAAAAATTTGAAGGAAAGTTTTAATAGAGTGGATAAAATTTATTATTTTCTGATAGAGCAGTAACCAATATAAAAATAAAAGATTTCATTAATCTCTACAATCATGAAAATGATTTTGGGATAAAGGCTGAGTGACATTTTTTGAAACCGCACAAGGTAAAGGTCCATGTGACATTTTTTGAAACCGCACAAGGTAAAGGTCCATGCGACATTTTGAGGGCCGTTACTAAACGGTTAGCAGCTCGAGCAAGTTTGCAACGTCCATATGAACATCACATATTGACAATAATAGATTTATTTAACTATGCAAGAAATAATTTCTATGCGGTAAATTATATATTTGTGAGCACTAATGAATATATGAACATAGAAAGTCATCTTGAAAGCAGATTTTTGAAAGCAAAGAGAACTTCTGGAACACAAAGTTCCAAGCTTTTATTCCTCTAACGAAAACAAAAGTCATAATTTATTAAAATTCCTTGGATGATTATAATATATGATATATTTAATTATAAAATTTTGATTGTATTATATGTAATGCAATTTGAGGCAAATAAAGTTATAAATATATTTAGAATTATTTTGTCAAGTAACTTCAAGACAGAATTTAACTAAAGTCTTAAACAAAGCTCATTATTCCAGCCACTTCTCAAAAATTTTGATAAAGATTAAAAAAAAGTAAGGGCCTGTCATTTAGACATAATTTTTAAATTAACATTATTTCATAACTATTCATTAAATTAAAATATGATGATATTAATGTTAAATTTGTTCAATTTTAGCCATGTAAAGAGTGATACTCTTAACCCCATGTTTATCCCTGTCTAGGATTTTGTACAAATATAAAGCAGTGTGATATCTATCTACAGAAAAGAAATTTTGAAAAAAAATACCTTTTTTTTCTATGGCCATTTTCGGTTTTACACATCCGGTTTTCGATATTAATATAATGTCCATCATATTTATTTTCATGTCATTTTAAAGAACTTTTATTAATCTACAAAATAAAATTTAAATTATTTTTCTAACATAATTATTTCTCGAGATTGAAAATGAGGTGCATTTTGTCAAAAATGTACCATTTTTCCGCGCTTTAAACGGCCATATCTTAGCGGGTAAACAGTGTTGGAAGATAAAATTTCATTTTTTTCTTAGTTATAGTATATACTACCAGTATATAAAATTTAAGAAAAATGAAGGGGGTGGGGTTGAAACCTTGGTTGATTTGATATGGAATTTACCATATTTTTTGGTAGCGTTCAATTACTTGAGAGAGTCTTTGAATTAAATAAGCTTTGGTAATCAGTGATTAGGATCAATACTTTTTTTGAAAATTTATAATCAGATACAATTTTTAAAATCAATAGTATTAAACATAAAAAATTTTCATATGTTATTTTTGTCCGGGATTCAAACTGATATAAACGAACGGAACAGAATAGTGTCATAATATTCATTTTAATGTTATATATATTTTAACCCTAGTGGCTAG